GGGGACACGGGTTCGAGCCCTGGTCTGGGAAGATCCCACATGCTGCGGAGCAACTAAGCCCATGCACCACAACTACTGAGCCTGCGCTCTAGAGCCCGCGTGCCACAACTACTGAAGCCTGTGCTCCTAGAGCCCGTGCTCCGCAACAAGAGAAGCCACCACAATGAGAAGCCCGCGCACCACAACGAAGAGTAGCCCCCGCTCACCGCAACTAGAGAAAGCCTGCGCACAGCAACAAAGACCCAATGCAACCCAAAATAAAAAATAGTAAATAAAATAAGTTAATTAAAAAAAAAAGAAAGTAAATGCAGACGTGACTTCACTCCTAAATACTTGAGTATAAACCTCGTAAGAAGAAGGACATTTTTCTACATAACCACAATATCATTACTACTAGCTTTTTAAAAACATGCATATCCTCTATAAAGCTGGGTTTTTGCTTTGTTTTTGTTTTTAATGTCCATCCTGTCTTGTGCTAAGCACTGTGCTATGTTGGGATGTAAAGATAAACAATCAGAGTTCCTGCCTTTAAGAAGTCCAGTCTCCTGGGGAGACAGACATCTAAGACAATGATTGTATTAGGCTGGGATGAGGGCCATAGTAGCTTCATCTACTCCTTTAATTCAACGAGTGTGTCAGCAGAAATGTTCTTCCTGTGGGATAAAGAACTGTTCCCAGAGTGGTGTTCTGGAGTCCATGCTCCATGCTGTGATTCACCAGCCTGACCCTGATGGACCTTTCTTCCCGACCTAGAGGGGTTTGCATCCATCTAGAAGTGAAGGATGTAACTAACAGGGTGTCATTCACTTCGTCTGATTCTTTCAGTTCCTATACAATGAGGATTGGCCAGGCACAGAGGAATAAGAGAGAAGCTTTGAGGACCAGGCTGAGGAATTGGGGGCTTTATTCTTCAGATCAGCTGTATTAAGTAAGAAGACGTATGTTTGGCCATGAATACCAGAGACCCAAATTAGCAGTGACTTAATCAAGATAAGAGTTTAGTTTTCACTTAACAGTCAGGAGATAGCCGGTCCAGGGCTGGAATGCCGGTTCATACCCATGGGGTCATCCAAGGACCTAGACTCAAGTTGGCTCTCGCGCCATCATCCCCTCCTTGATATGTGGGCTGGTGCCCTCACCTGTATGATTCAAGACGGCTTGTCACCACATCCATATGCCAGGCAGCAGGATGGAAGAAGGGACTACATACGCCTTCCCTTTAAGGCACATTTTGGAAAGACACACCTCACTTCTGCCTATATCCCACTGGCCAGAATTTACTTGTGTAGCCATACCTATTTGCAAGAAGGTACAGAGAAACATAGTCATCATTTGGAAGGCCATATGCCAGGCTAAGAATAGGAGGTCCTATTCCCTATAAGAAAGGAGGAGTGGTATGTACTAAGGGTCAACTTGCAGCCCCTAATATACTGCTATTTCTTTAAAAAAAAAAAAAAAAGCCTTCTATAAAATTTGGTCCTTAAGATGCTCCTTAAAAATAGGTCTATTGGGCTTCCCTGGTGGCGCAGTGGTTGAGAGTCCGCCTGCCGATGCAGGGGACGCGGGTTCGTGCCCCAGTCCGGGAGGATCCCATGTGCCGCGGAGCGGCTGGGCCTGTGAGCCATGGCCGCTGAGCCTGCGCGTCCGGAGCCTGTGCTCCGCAACGGGAGAGGCCACAACGGTGAGAGGCCCGCGTACCGCAAAAACAAACAAACAAATAAAAATAGGTCTATTGGCCAAATAATTTTGGAAACATTTAGCATGGTCTTGATCTCACAGAGATTCGTAATGTGGAGAAACATCAGAGGCTCTGAGAAGTTCTGCAGTAAAGGAACTTGTCTGTCTTTGTTTAACCTAAACAAAGATTGTTTGGCCAAAATCCCTTTTTACAAATTTTGTGTTTTGCAGAAGCCCTGGTCACCTAAGCTTTGGGAAACACTGCTTTGGGGATCATTAAAGTTTCCTTAGTTTGCAGTGATGCAAACATTTTTACAGCCGTTCCACTCCTAGGGATGTAGTCAACAGATATGTGTGCATATTGTGTCAGTCAAAGTCAAGGTTTAATCAAAGAAACAGAACCACTGGGAGACAAATAAAGGGATTTATTGCAGGGATTTGATCTTGTGCAATTGTGGGAGCTGGTTAGAAAGTCTGTGTAAGGCTGTTGCCTTGTGTCTGTTGGTGGAGCTTGAAGTCTCTTGAGCGGACAGTTAGGAAGCAGAGAGTAAAGTTGAGAAGAAGGAGAACAAGCTGGAACTCATGAGGGTGGGTGGGAACCCAGGTCAGCGTGTCACTGCCTCCTGTTCTAATGACGTGGTGCCCTGACCTGATGAAGCTGATGTCTTTCATTATGGAACTAAGCACACGCCTGGGGTGGGAGTCCGAGAAGCTGACAGAGGATCCAGGGAAGGTGGATCCATCGACCGCAGGCCTGGCAGCCACCCCCCAAGTGTGATGAGCCTGCAAGATAAGCAGCAACGCCCATGAGTTACCTGGTGCCCTCACACTGGCCTTCTGACATAAACACAACATGGCTACTGCTTCACTTCGCCTCCCCAGTCTCAGACGCAAGTGGGAATTCTGAGAAATGTGAATCAGCCCAGCCGGGTCATGCGTTACAAAGCTACCGCACGTGTAGTCACCAGAGGACAGGTATGGAATTGTTCACAGCAGTGCTGTTTGTGATAGCTTCAAATAAGAAGTAAGCTATATGTGCACCAACAGTCACATAGGTAAGTAAGCTGTGTTACATGCATAGGATGGAAGTAGTAAGTGAAGAAATTATTGCTACATGCATCAACATGGATGAATCTTGCAAAAAAAAAAATGGAGCCAAAGAAGACAGACGCAAACGAATACAAACTATGATTGCATTTCTATAAATTTCAAAGACAGCAAAGCTAATTTATCGTGTTCGGAGTCCGGATAATAGTCAGCCTGGAGAGAGGGGTGATGACTCGGACGGGGCAGAAGAGCGGCTTCTGTTTTGCTATTCATGTCCTGCTGCTTGGTCTGGGCTCTGCTCACACAGGTATGTTCATGCTGGGAGAACTCATTGTGCTGCAGAGCTATGATCTGTGCGCTTTTGTGAACTTATCCCTCAGCACAAAGTTTAGGTACGTTAAAGTTTTAACAAGTCATTGAGTAGTCATGGACAGGCTGGGTCAGAGGAAAGGAGCTAAGAGCAAGTTGAACCCTGCATGGAGTGGCATGGGGGCGGGGAACAAGGCAGCAGATACTAGAAGAGCAGGTAAGCGAGAGGACAGAGTCTGCCAGAGGATCCGTGGCAGGCTGTCCCTCTCCTAGGCGAGCCATCTGTTGCCATCATGAAGGGTTAGGACCGTGTGCACAGGGGGCTCATCAGCTGAAGTGCCCGTGTGGCACAGACCATGACGGTGTAGATTTGGGGGGAGGGTCAGCCCCCTTGTAAGCTTCCTGGGTGTCCTGTTGCACAACACAGGGTGAGAGCCACTGGACCGAGGAGACCGTAGACAGGGATGCTAGTGGAAAGACAGGAACGTGGGGGAAGTCGGTGTGCGAAACCTTACCTTTCTCCCCACGTTCGCCCCTCTTTCAGCGTGCAGCATGCTTTTGCTCGTCTTTAACCCTGACAGATACAACATTGTTCTGGCCTCTCTGTTGTGTGAAATCTTAATTCCTTTTTTCATGCTTTCTCTTTTAGCCCATTGATTAGTTGTTTGAGTTTAAGAGTCCTCTTTTGAAAATAAACTACTTGAAAGTGCCTTAGGCTGCTGAATATGGGATAGGCTGATCCCCCGTGATGCCCACCCCATTCAGAGACTGGGTCGTGTCCGGGTAGACTTGATATGCGGTACCTCTGATGCCCCGAACAATTATCTGAAAGCATTGGTTGTCTGGGATTATTAATGATGTTTCTAATGCTTGGGCAATTAGGGTTTGAGGTGTTGATGAGAAGTTTGTTCTAAAGTGAAATCTTACAAGTATCTTAGTATTTTTATTTGGAAAATTTTTGAATATGCAAGAAAACAGTAGGGCATGTCCTGTAGCATCCTCTCAAGCCTCGAGGAAACACTGCTCTTGTGAACTTCTCTGATTCCCTCAATCTTATGGCTGCTTGTGATTGCTACGTTCTAAAATCCCACGTTATCCTCTGTCATCGAATTTACCACATACCACCACCCTCAGCCTCCAGAACTGTAATCGCTGGTCTCCTTGTTTATCTCCGTATCTGTCCCTGGAATCTAGTCTGTTTGAGGTCAGGGACTGTGTCTTATTTGACTTTGTAGCTCCAGCATCTAGCTCAGTAGAAGCGCAGTAATTAGGGATAAGTGAATGAGCTCTTAAATTCTGCAGGCAAAGAACTGGTGTCTGGACCTTGGAGAAGAGCCTCATTTTGAGGAGAGAGGAGAAAGAGTTAGGGAAGGAAGCAGAGCTACGTTTGATCAGAGAAGAAGGAAAAGAACCAAAATAGTATTCTGTCACGGGAGTCAAGGGAAAAAGGGGAGATATTTTTGAGGAATTATCAAATGCCACAAAGAGATCAATGAAAATTAAATTAAAAATTAATTTAAAAATTAAAAAGAGTGTGGGGGTTTGTCAGTTATTAGTGGCCATAAAAAGGCAAGATGGAAGCAGGATCTCGAGGGGTTAAGGAGAGAGTACAAGATGAGGAAATGGGGGCGGAGGGTCAAAACATGCGCTTCGAAGTGAGGCTGCAAAAGGAAGGAGATTGGAGGTGGCCAAGCAGAATGGGAGAACCAAAGCCAGCAGCCTCGCTGGGAAGAACTGTGCTCATTTGAAGGCAGAGATTGGAGGTGCCTTCAGCACCCATCTCCTGGCCCTCGGGATGCCTCAGGGACTCTGCTGGCGTGTAGGCGATGGAGGGATGAGCCACCGGAGCATGCCGGTGGTCAAGTCAGTAGGACATTTACTCCGAAGCCATGTGCACTTAGCCCTGCACTAAGCCCTTTGAATGATTTTGTCTCTTTTAAACTTGTATCCTCCCTTCTTCCCCACAGGAAACATGGTGGAATGGTGCTTACCTCAAGATATTGACCTTGAAGGCGTTGAGTTCAAGTCTATGGCCAGTGGGTCCCATAAAATTCAGTCTGATTTCATGTAAGTACTGCCGATTGCAAGTCTTCTCTGTACCATTTCCTCTCGCTCTGTGCTTTCCCCCAGAGAATAAGGGCTCTCCTTGGGGCATTTTCAGGAAGTGTGTGTAAATACCCTGAAAATATATACTGGTTTGTGTTTTTGTATCAGTTTTCTAGCAAGAGGTTCCCAAGCTTTCATGAGGTTCTCGATGAGTTTCATGATCCAAAAATGTTAAGAACTCCTGCCCTAGAGGTTCTCTCTCCTTTCCTAAGAAATGATTGGGCCTTGCTTGGGGTTTGGCTTTAATAAAGGAATAGAGTTTCGGTCGCATTTGGGTTAACTTAAGGCACGTATGTGCTAAAGCTTGCAATTCCAGCTTTAAGTAAGGCCAGTCTGTAGTCCTGTGTAATTAAGGTTCTTGTGAGGAGCAATGAGAGAATGTCAGGGCGACGGAGTAGCTCTCATCTTCTCATTGGGCTGAAACCATGACAGACATAAGTGTGAGAAACGGGAAGGAAACAAAGTGAAAGCTCTGGTCAAATATTCTATTTAAAATATCAGAGACTCAGGAAGCGAGGAGAGAATCAACACAGTTTATGCTAATAAAACAGAGGTCCCCCCATCAGGTCAGTTTTTATGCAGGAGGAGAAAGGCTGTATCCATGGTCGTGGGCGACTGAGTAGCAGGCTTTGCAGAGATCAAGTCCTGGCTCCGGCGGGATGACCCTTGGCGGGTTCCACAGTTTCTTTGAGCCTTGGTTGTCCCATCTGTGAGGTTGAGGGGCTTGGGCTGATAGTCCCGCTGAGGTTCTAAAAAAGGTTTTTCTCAGGCTGAGTTTTCTCACGTAGAGCCCTGGACGCAGTTATGTCTTTTGTTCGCGACTGCATCTCAAAGGCAAAACACAGAGTAAAATGAAATTTCTCTCTCTGATTTCGAGCCACGCTACACATTGGGTCTATTTTAGCTATTTCCGAAAGGGGCCCTTCTTTGGCCTGGCCTGCTTCGCCAACATGCCTGTGGAAAGCGAGCTGGAGCGTGGCGCCCGGATGAAATCCGTGGGCATCCTCTCTCCATCCTACACCCTGCTGTACCGGTACATGCACTTCCTGGAGAACCAAGTTCGGTATGTGGCTTACATACGGGGTGGGGTGCAGGGAGGGCAGAGGCAGCAGGGCTCTGCCAGGTGGTGTGCTGTGATGAGCCCTCAGCGGTAAAGGCTGTCCATCAGAACAGCAGATTCCTCACCAAGAACATCCATGGCTGTGTCTCACACCTCGGGTGGTGGTCTTCGTGTTTCAACCAGCGTCCTGCATAAATGATTCTTCATCCTCGAATGAAAGTTGGGGTAGATTTTGCTTTCAGCTTATATTAATATTGTCATCAATTTTTTTTTTTTTTTTGCGGTACACGGGCCAATCACTGTTGTGGCCTCTCCCATTGCGGAGCACAGGCTCCGGACGCGCAGGCTCAGCGGCCATGGCTCACAGGCCCAGCCGCTCCGCGGCACATGGGATCTTCTCGGACCAGGGCACGAACCCGTGTCCCCTGCATCGGCAGGCGGACTCTCAACCACTGCGCCACCAGGGAAGCCCTGTCATCAATTTTGTTGAATTAATTTGTTGACATTGACGTGATCTTTGCTTTACCTTAAACCACAATAATTATCTCCTTGCCCCAGGCAAGTAGACTCTCAACTTTTTTTTTTTAAGCCTAATCATTTATTATTGGAGGTAATTATTATCATTGGGGGTAATAGGAAGGGAATTTTTAACAGAAGCTGCAGAACTATTAATTACTTCATATTTTTTTCATCCTGTGAGTAACCTAATTTTATTTCATATTTTGAAGGGAAAATCTACCCCTAAGCCCTGAAGCACTGTTAAAATTTTAGTACATTTGCCTCTCCTCTGGTATGCATGTGTGTGTACTTTATTTATTTATTTTAAAATATTTATTTATTTATTTGGTTGTGTCAGGTCTTAGTTGTGGCAGGCGGGCTCCTTAGTTGTGCCATGTGAACTCTTAGTTGTGGCATGCATGTGTGATCTAGTTCCCTGGCCTGGGATCGAAGCCGGGCCCCCTGCATTGGGAGTGTGGAATCTTAACCACTGTGCCGCCAGGGAAGTCCCATGTGTGTGTACTTCAATATATACATACTTGGCACCATACGACATACATACTTTTATGTCATATGCGTTTAAAAGTTATTTTAATTTTTGATATAATCTATCTTGATCATCATCTTTGAAAGAATATGAAATTGTGGGGAAAAAAATGTTTATTATTGAAAAATTCATGTGAACGTACAAATGAATTTTAACAATTCTTCCAAATCTTAACACCCAGTGAGATATCCATTGTCAGTGTTCAGCGAATGCCATTCTAAAATGACATACTTTTACAAAAATAGGATTAATATTTTATGAAGATTTAATTTTATCAGATAGACTAGTTTGAAATATATTTTATTTATTTGTAAATATCAGAAAAAGAGTAAGTGAAACTGAAGGAATTGTCAAACTTTAATTTTTTTTCACAGTAAGATATGTTATTTCTTAGAATGTTCTTCCAGAGTTAAGAAAAAAGACTGCAAAACATGAAGATACAGTGTCATTCTTACTGAGAAATAATGTATATATAATAAAGTGCACGAATCTTTGTATAGGTATCATTGGTGCTTTTAGGTTGTGTTTTTTTAGTTGTAGACAGTCAGGTATCTTATACTTCTTCCCAGAACCCCTCCCCGACTTGACTTCTCAACTTTCATATACTGTGAGATTTATTACATTTAGTTCTGTAATCACAATTCCCATGATTCTTAAGTCTCAGTTGTATGTTTACGACCACATCCAAGGCTTAACTGTGGCTTGCTACGTTCCAGAGCTCGTGATTTATTTCTTGGTTGGTTAGATTTTGCCATCAGGCATCTTCTGTTTCTTTTTTTTTTTCATGAAAGGATCATGGGTGCTGCCTTCTCTGAAATCTTGCACGCTTGATAGTATTGGTCTTTTACCTTTACTCTTGGCTGGGTATAAGATCCTAAAATCTTTTCTTTCTTCCTCAGGATGCTATAAATATTGCGCAGCAGTATTCTGATATTGGTTGTTTCAGAGAAGTCTCTTTTGTCTAGATCCCTATAGATTCTTTATCTGTGATGTTTCTGAACAGTTTTTTTCTGGGGTAGTTTGTCCCTTTTTATCTATAGATATGACATTTATTTTTAATTTCAGGAACCTTTTTTTCTACAATAAAATACTAAACTTTTCCTCTGCATTTTCCCTTCTTCAGGAACACGAGTTATGTGTATGTTTTCTCCCCATTGTCCTCCATATTTTTCATTTTGATGATTTTTTTTTCTGCTTTTGTGATACACGGGCCTCTCACTGTTGTGGCCCCTCCCGTTGCAGAGCACAGGCTCCGGACGTGCAGGCTCAGCGGCCATGGCTCACGGGCCCAGCCGCTCCATGGCATGTGGGATCTTCTCGGACCGGGGCACGAACCCGCGTCCCCTGCATCGGCAGGCGGACTCTCAACCACTGCGCCACCAGGGAAACCCTTGATGATTATTTTAATAGCTCTATAGTGCTAGAGCTGTCCCATTAGTTTACTCGATTATTCCCTATGGTTAAGCAGTTAGCATGCTTCTAATTGTTTTAACTGCTGCTCTACATTTTGGAGCTGTGATACATATTTTTCTGTATTTGAAACATTTCCTCAGTTTTGTGTCTCAGAAGTAACATTGAATTTAAAATAAAAAACATTTTTATTGGGATCTTGACACTTTAAAAAAATTATTACTGCTTTTGAAAAATTAATTTCCCAAGGAGGCAATACATTCTCATCGTTCAAAAGCCAGAAGTTATAAGGAGGTATTATATTAGAGTCCTGGCTAAATGGTGATAACGGAGGCCCCAAAATACACTGGCTCAAATAAGACAGAAGATTCTGCCCCATGTAATGTTCTAGAAGTAGCAGGGTGGTCAGGGTGCGCAGCCTCCTGTCCCCACAATTCAGGGCCCACGCTGCTTCTCTTATTATTCTGCCGTATCCTAAGAGTGATTTTGTGTTCTAAGGTGTTCTTCTCACCTGTTGGAAGCTGCTCACCACTATTATGTCTGCATTCCAGCCCGTAGGGAGGAATGAAGGACCCGGAAGTTGCATACATCACTTCTCATATCCCATTGTCAAGTCCTCAATCACAAAGACACACCTGACAGCACAGGACACTGGGAAAGGTAGTCTCTAGTTGGGTGACCTTGTGACCGGTTAAAATTCGGGGACTCCTGTTGCAAACAGGAAGAAGAGAAGAATGGATTTGGAGGAAATTTTAGCAGCCTCTGCTTCAGTTTGCCCCCCTGGCGACCTAGGTATCCGTGTGTACTCTTCTTCCCAGACATAGAGGACATTCCTCCCACCCCGAGACATCATAGAGTCTCATGTGGTTAATGTTTCTAGTCTAAAATCCAGGGTTTCTGTGTGATTTGAGGCAATCAGGACATGGTTCTCTTATCCTGGAAAGCTATGAAAGAACAGTCACGTCCTCCATTCCCACTTCCTAAATGCAATACAGAAGTAGAGAAGGAACCACAATGCAAGCTCCCATTTGGAAAAGAAGAATCAGAAATAATATGAGGGGTCGTTAGTCCATAATCATAATGAAATTTGCTGAGTAGGGATGGCAGAGACCCCTTGTCCTCACAGAGCGGTATGCTCCTGGCTACACCTTGGTTCTGCTCACTAGAATCCCCTTGTCCATGTTCCTCCATGGCTCCTGGCTTTGCCTTCTGAGGGTTCTTTATCCATTTTGTCCCATAACCACTTTTTTTTTTTTTTTTTTTGTGGTACGTGGGCCTCTCACTGTTGTGGCCTCTCCCGTTGTGGAGCACAGGCTCCGGCCATGGCTCACGGGCCTAGCTGCTCCGCGGCATGTGGGATCTTCCCGGACTGGGGCACGAACCCATGTCCCCTGCATCGGCAGGTGGACTCTCAACCACTGCGCCACCAGGGAAGCCCCCATAACCACTTTTGAAACAGGCATTGGTGAACATTGGAGAAAGCTGCATGGCTTTGGAACATGTTTCCTGCTGGTGTGGATTTGGGGGTCTAGTGATTTCTTTAAGGGTTGAGAAGTCAGCGGCTTAGATAGGCCAAGAACATGACAATACAGATGAGATCCGGCGATTTCAGGGTGGCATGGCCGTAGACAAGAATGTGACAGTACAGATCCCTCAGAAACTGAATAGGCTTCTTGGTCTGTTTGCTTCCACTCAATTCCATGTAAAAATATCCACTGCCGAAGATGATCTCTGGGTCTTAGTTTTTAAGTCAGTAGATGGTGGCCTAGTTACTGATCACTGTTCTTGGCCTGTCTATCTTTCCCTGGTTTTAATGGCAACTACCTTGAGACTTTAGCCTAAATCTGGGCTTTATAAATGGGCAGACTCCCACGTCTGGGAGAGTTTCTTAGAGGCTTTGAGAGAAATTCTTATCTCCTGCATTTTTTTTTCTTTTTCTTTTTTTTTTTAACATCTTTATTGGAGTATAATTCACAATGTTGTGTTTAGTGTCTCCTGTATAACAAAGTGAATCAGCTGTAAGTATACATATATCCCCATATCTCCTCCCTCTTGCGTCTCCCTCCCACCCTCCCTATCCCACCCCTCTAGGTGGTCACAAAGCACCGAGCTGATCTCCCTGTGCTATGTGGCTGCTTCCCACTAGCTATCTATTTTCCATTTGGTAGTGTATATATGTCCATGTCACTCTCTCACTTCGTCCCAGCTTACCCTTCCGCCTCCCCATGTCCTCAAGTCCATTCTCTACATCTGCGTCTTTATTCCTGTCCTGCTGCTAGGTTCTTCAGAACCTGTTTTTTTTTTTAGATTCCGTACATATGTGTTAGCATACAGTATTTGTTTTTCTCTTTCTGACTTCACTCTGTATGACAGACTCTAGGTCCATCCACCTCACTACAAATAACTCAATTTCGTTTCTTTTTATGGCTGAGTAATATTCCATTGTATATATGTGCCACATCTTCTTTATCCGTTCATCTGTCCATGGACACTTAGGTTGCTTCCATGTCCTGGCTATTGTAAATAGTGCTGCAGTGAACATTGTGGT